AGTGAGGGGGCGGCAGGGTCGTCGGCAGACTGCGAGGCCCCGAAGCAGCCCGTCGCAGACACCTATACTTTACACATTACACATCGTGCACGCCGCAAGCGGGCCGCGGGCGGGTTGCGGGTTGGTTGCGGGCAGGTCGCGGGCGAGGACGACGACAACAACAACAACAACAACAACAACAAATGATCAACAACAATAAGCAGCAAGAATCCTCACCGCTGCCCTTTTCATGCACGCACCCAGGGATGGAGTAACAACGCTCGGACCCCTCACTCTGGTGCGCATTGAAACGCTAAGATAACGATGGCCTCGTAATCGTTTGTCGGCGCGGTCTGTGGCGGTCTCATGCGGTCCTCTTCCGTGCGCAGGTTAGGTGGCCGCAATGCACCGGTGCCGATGGCCGAACAGTAAAAACAACATGAGCAGTTGGGTCGACTTGGGGCCTGGAGGGGAGACCACACGATGCTGAGAACAAGATGCCCGCTCCAGGAGAAAGATCGGAGAAATACAAATTTGGCGTCTTCGCTACCGCTTTCCCTGGCTTGAATTCGGGTGGTTCCAGCCCAAGCTGGCTATGTTTGGAACAGCGGTAGGAGTATGCATGGCGAGGGCGTGTTCGAGGGGGCCCAATATCGCACCGACGACACTGGAGCATGACAACATGAGGCGCAAGTTGAACAATATGTCATATGCGCGTTCGCCGCCGGGAAGGGAGGCTCTGGGCCCTGAGAGAGACTCGCCCCGAACCTTTTACTCGCTTCAACTATTCCTGCGGGCAGCTCCTCATAACCGTGCTCCGCGGGCTGCGCCTGCCTGCGCCCCCGGCCGGAGTGGGCGCGCGGCGAGGGCCGCGGCGGCGGCCGGGAGGCATGCAGCTGGGTGGTGCTGCGCGAGGCGCGGCTTGGAAGTGCGCGAGGCGGGGGTGGATCCATGCAGTGGGGGCTCGACCACGGGACACCTGCCACGAGAGGCCCAACCCTGGAACCCCAGGACGTCCATTGATTTTTCTTTTGCGCGGGGACGTCACGCTCTCCGTGGCAAAACCCACCGAAACGCAAGGAACCCAGGGCACCCTGGAGGCAAGCAGGGTGCCTGTTGGCGTGGCCCCCCACTGTATCCACAGCCTGGGAGTGGACGTCCTGGGGACCCAGCGGAAGGTGGAAGTGGATACGTTGTGCCCCCTTGGGGCCAACATATTTCAATCTCCACCGCCTGTGGAGGTCCTCGACAGTCGGTCCTACCGGCGGTGGTCATGTATAAATTCCCGCCTCCAATAACGGAGAGGGCGAGGGGAACAAGTGAGGGAGGATGAGAGAAACGTATTTTGCAAATTGGGGAGTTGGGGGGGGCCTTGTCGGCCCCGTCGCGTCGCTGCTCACGCTGAATATGCGACGAATCCACGCCGAGCCAGCGTGGAAAAAAAAGAGAGAAAACCGCCACCTGCAAGACACACCGAATCCTCCGAAGCCGCAACGTGAAAGGTGGGCGGAGGGCGAAGGGTGGTGGGACCGACAACGGAAGAGGGGATTGGCCAATGCCACGCTAACGGCAATGTTGGTGAACGGCGATGTTGGGAACCTGGTTTTTGCGACGCCAAACTCGCGCAGAACAGTGTGTAAGAAAACCCGAACGGCGTTTACTACACCTTGGTTGGACACGAACCTCCCCCTCCTACAATTCCGAAACCCACATCGCCGTTACATACATCACTGTCAGTGCGTCTACGGAGGGCAGTCGGAAGAAGCAGGCAGACACACGAATCGGGAACGCGGATCACACAGATTGGGTTCGGGCCCGCCCGGAAAACAACAAGACACAGCAGAAACACATCGATGCTTGAATTAGGAAGGCGTTCGAAGGATTGGGATCCGGAAATCCAACAAGACCTAAGCCTACTCCAAACCACCGACGGGCACGTGTTCGACCATGGGGTCCTTTGTTTGAAGGGGCCCAGGGACACACAAATAAATACACACAAATAAAATGATTCCCCATATTTTCTCATATTTTCTGGATTTGTGTCTTCCCCCCCACTTCCCATATTTTCCCATATTTTCCCATATTTTCCTGGGACTCGACGATTAATTGTGTCTGTGTGTTCCTTTTCCTCCTGATTGTTGCCCATCGGCCCTGGGCGATCTTCGGCGGCCTCCAAACGGTCTTCCGATGGCTATGCTCCGCGGCTTCTGGCAGACTTTGGGCGGCCTTCCGCGGCCTTCGGTCTTTGGCGTTTTCTTGTGTTGGTCTTCGGCGCGAGAGCTGGGCGGTTGTGAAGGGGCCCCAGGACACACAAGTAAATAGACACACATGAAAGGATTCCCCATGTTCTGCCATCTTCTCTGGGTTTCCGTCTTCCCCCCCCCCACTTCCCATATCTTCCCATATCTTCCTGGGGGAATCGACGCTTCATCGTGTCTGTGCCTTTCCCCTCCTGAGGCTGTAGGCAACGGCCGACGGGTGCAGAGACATGCGCGGGCGGAGGACCGCGCAAATCTCCTGGGGGCCCCGGCCCCGGAGCGCCTCCCCACTCCCGACGCGGGGAGCGCGCGCCGACGGCGGCGCCAGAGGGGGCCTCCGAAGGCTTGGTGCTCAAGGTAAACTCCCGCGGCGACGGCGCGCGCCAAGGCTTTCGACACCGGGTCGATCGTTCAACCTCTATACAGTCGGGGCCTTGACCTAGGGAACCCAAAATAAGGGCCTTAAGGGTTCCTTCTTCAGGGAACCGACTATAATCGATCGACGCCTGGGGCGTTCAAGGTGGAACTCCATCGGGTCCAACGGCGTCGGCGTGTCCGTCGGTTCTGCCGCGTCGCAGAATTCAGCCTTGAACGCCTTCGCCAGCGACGCCAGCGCGCCAACGCTGCATGAGCCTACCGTGTGTCGTATGTTGGGGGGCACAAAGAAATACTTGTACTATGTCCTCCTGGGAGGAGTGCGTCCGACCCGAACATACAAGATAACCATCTTGAAGAGTATCGTTTCCCGAGGTATGGTCAGAAAGCGCCCGCCGTAGATGTAATGCGCACATCGTACTGGTATGTTGGGGTGGCGCCAATATGCAGGAGATCGGGTGCGTCAACCAGGGGGAACAGGAAAAGGAAGTTAGCGCGTGATGGACCGAGGCATCAATGTGTGCGGACGAAGGGTGAGGGGGCAGGGATGGATGGACAGAACAAACAGGGGGTCGTAAATTCTGAGATGTCATGGCCCTGGCCATCATATCCACCCACCACTGATTGAAGGCCTTCAGACTAAATGGAGTCGGAGAATCGCACCTCATCGCCGATGAATTGACGACAGCGGGGATGGAGGAGAACTGGCTCCAAATCGCGCCGCATCGCTGGTGAATCGGCGATGCGACGCGGCCCTCCCGCTCCACCTTGCTCCCAGCCCCACTCTGGAGTGGCCAGGCTGAAGTAGAGCTCTTGACAAAACTGCTTACAAGAAACATTCGGAGCTTAAAGCGGATTCCGTGGATCGGAGCTGGCCCCCCCTCCCTGACGCGCGGAGCGCGCCAGGGGCGGCGCCAGAGGCGCCTCCAAAGATGGCCCAATGTTGAACAATGTTCATGTTAATGCAATCGTTTCGCCTTCGATCACTACCCTCCATCCCTTGAATTGCATATGTGGGGAACCTCTTCTATCTCATCGCGCCAACCATCCGCGTCGCATCCATCTAAAATAGATGTCGACCGTGTCGACACGTATCGAATCCACGTCGAAGCCGTGTCGGAGTACAAGAAAAGACTGCCAGATACACGACAGGGAAAGTCGCCCGACGATGCAACGTACCAACCCCTCTTTCGCTAGAGGCCTCCTAGATGGGGTCCGCGTAGGGGGGGTCGGAGGATCGCGCCGCATCGTCGATGCATTGGTGAGGTCGGCGACGCATCGGCAACGTATGGAGAAAATCGGGCTACGCATCGGCGATGCGGCACGATCCTCCGACCCCATCTGATCGGACCGCGTTCAAAATGAGGATTCCGAGGCGAACCGGGCCGCGGCGACGAGGGCCTCCCAGGAGGCCTTCGAAGAGGCGAAACACAGGCACTGGTAACGTATCGGTACCGATTCCTCCTCCAACCCTCTCCCCCTCCCGCGCCAGCGAGCATCGGGGGCGTCCAAGAGGGGGGCGTCGAAGAGGGGGGGGCGCCTATGGGGGTGTCTAAGAGGGGGGGGGGGGGGGGGCAAGTCATGGCCGGCGGCATCTGCACGGCCCAGGGTGGGGCTGGGGACGTATTCAAACAAGAAGGGTCGCGCGAAATCTCGGGAGACATCCTGGCCCCCGCCAGGATATCCCCCCCAAATAATCCTCACCCCCCTCTTCGCCACCCCCGAGAGCAGGAGCGCCTCGGGCGCGCAGACGGCCCCACTAGAAGCAGAAACAACGCCATGAACATGTGTTTGCCAGAGGCGCAGCCGGGGGGGGGGCGGCACGGATCCAAGAAATCCGCGCGGAGCGCCAAACGTTTCTGTTCATGGCGTTGCTTCTTCCACGAGCGTAGTCGATTCCTCCTCTCGGGGATGGACCGAAGCCCCTTTAGTAAAACGTGGTGCAGTGAAAACGACCTCGGGCCCAAACCTGGCGGGCGCAAGCCTGGAGAATGACGGCCACGGCGCCCCCTCGAGGACCGAGAACGGACAATTCCCTAATCGACGAGTCAAGGACGGGGTTCTGTCCACCCCTTAGTGGGCCCTGGAAACGACAGGGCCGTTTTTGTACCGGTTCCGTTTTGCCGTTTTTGTTACCGGTTCCGACGCCGTTTCTTTACCGGTTCCGTCGCCGTTTTTTGACCGGTTTCGGCTCCGGTTCCAATCCTGGAGCCGTTTTTTGGCCGTTTCCCGTCACCGTTTTTTTTTGCCGTTTCCATTTTCAAAGGATATTTTTTTGGAAACGGTGAAAAACGGCCCTGTCGTTTCCGGGGCCCACAAGGGTCCACCCCGAATCCTCCAGACCTCGGCCCCGTCGCCCAGCCGCCACGTCGCCCTACGCCGAGGCCGTCACCTGCGGCGCTTCTGCTCCGGGCCTGGCGCCGGCCGCGGATCGCTCTCGGGCGGCGCAGGCGGAGCCCCGCCTCCTCCTCCTCCTCCTCCTCCTCCTCCTCCTCCTCCTCCTCCTCCTCCACCCTCCTCCTCCTCCTCCTCCTCCTCCTCCTCCTCCTCCTCCTCCTCCTCCTCCTCCTCCTCCTCCTCCTCCTCCTCCTCCCTCCTCCTCCTCCTCCTCCTCCTCCTCCTCCTCCTCCTCCTCCTCCCTCCTCCTCCTCCTCCTCCTCCTCCTCCTCCTCCTCCTCCTCCTCCTCCTCCTCCTCCTCCTCCTCCTCGTCCTCGTCCTCCTCCTCCTCCTCCTCCTCCTCATCCACCCTCCCCTCCTCCTCCTCCTCCTCCTCCTCCTCCTCCTCCTCCTCCTCCTCCTCCTCCTCTCCTCCTCCTCCTCCTCCTCCTCCTCCTCCTCCTCCTCCTCCTCCTCCTCCTCCTCCTCCTTACCCTCCTCCTCCTCCTCCTCCTCCTCCCCCGTCCCCTCCCCATCTTCCTCATCCTCCTCCTCCTCCCCCTCCCCCGGGCCCCTCCTCCTCCTCCTCCTCCTCCTCCTCCTCCTCCTCCCTCCTCCTCCTCTTCCTCCTCCTCTTGCCCCCAGGGGAGCCGACCAAAACACCCCCCCCCCCAGAGCCAGGACACCCCTGGATCACCAGGGCGGGAGTGGGGGGGTCCCGGCTCTACTGCCCCCAGATAGGAGGCAACTCCCGGGAGGTCTTCGCAAAACGGCTACGGGCTGCTAAGCCGGATTCGGGGGAAAATGGGCAAGATCAGCCCAGACAGTGCCCGCGACTCGACCCGACTGAACCATATATTGTCCAAGATTGGGCAGGACCATGCCGGATTAGGCCGGCGATCGACCACGGATGTGCCAGCGCCGATGCTGGATTTCACCTCCCAAGGGTTGCATCCTGATACTCGCCTCGCGTGGCGGCCGGTCCCACCTCGAAAGTCGAGGATCGAGGTGTCTGGCGGGTTTTCCGAAGTATGCTGGGCCTTCAGGGGGCTCCTCGTCGCCACGGCCTCCCTGGCATTCGCTTGTATATCCCACCAGCTCTTTGAGCGAATGTGGTCTAAGGATGTCACTCTTTCCTCGCCCGTCATCCTCTTCCCTTCGGGGACGGGTCCCCCCCCTCCCCTCCCTGAGGCGTTTTTGGGGGTTTGCGACGTGCCAGTTTTTTTTCCGCCAAGATTGCTCCACGAGGATCTCCGATGCTACAAGATGGCCTCCAAGGCGGTTCAAGGTAGCTGGACATGGTTCTAGATAGCTGCCGACATACCTCCAAGAGGGACGCAAAACGATTCTAAGTGCTCTCGGGGCCTCCTCTGAACACCGCCGAGAGGCCGAAATCATGCAAAAACCACATGGAAATCAATGATGCGTGTCTTCTCGCCGTTTCGCTCCCGATGTTCTTTTGGGGACTGACGATTGCCTCAAGATGGCCAAAGAGAGCCGCAAGGGGTGCCCACGAGCGCCCCAACAGGCGATTTTGACGGCCCCCAGGGTGGAGGGACATCGGGGGCCCCCATCCTTTGATCGATAGCCTCCAAGATGGCCTCAAGAGGCCCTCCAGGGCTCCCAAGAGGGCCCCCAAAGCGCCCCAAGAGCGTCCCCCGGGGCCCCAAGAGGCTACTCCTCCTCATCCTCCTCCTTCTCCCCTCGCCCCCCCGCGGGCCCCAGGGATGGCCCGAAGAGACCCTCCAAGACCACCCCCGTGCTCACAGAGATCTAAATTCATCTTGGTTGTCCGATTTGTTTCACCATACGTGTCTCCCTTTCCCATTTCACGTCATCTCGTGGGCACAGTTTCTGGACAAGCTGGTGAGGACGCGCGACGCGAGAAGAATTTTGTCCAATCTGCGGCACCAGAAGTCCCGACCGCTTTCACAGGAGCAGCTTGACGCCATGGATCCATGCTTGATTGTCCTGGGACCCAAGAGCGGCCCCCGAGGGCTGCAAGCGAGGAATTCCCGCCAGAGGAAATCCATCGACCCTGCTGGCGTGTGTGAGGAGCTTGTCCGTTCGAATCGTCGTCTCATTCATTCATTAGTCGTCGTCTCTGTCGTCCCCTTTCCCTGCGGCGCCCAGTTCCCCGGGCCCGTCGCCGCTACCCCCCTTTTATCGGACCCTCCTCCTCGCGCGCGCCAGCTACAGCAAAATTGAGCAACGTCGTAATCCAGTCGAAAGGAAACCCGTTCCCTTGATTCCCCCCGTCGGGGGGGGGGGCGGGGGTGTCGCCACCCAAAAACGACTCCACCCGCCACCCAGACACGACTCCTCCCAGTGGGGTCACGGGTTTCAAAAAGCCTCAACACGGGCCAAGAATGCCTGAAGAGGCCCCAGCACGGTTCCGAATCGCCGAACGATCTGTCCAAGACGCCTTGACTGCCTGCAGACGGCCCATGATGCCTGCAAAATGCTCAAAGAGGCCTCCAGGCGCACTACCAAGAAGGCCCCAAGAGGAAAACTACACCTATAACCATTCGGTTTTCGGAAGATTTGGGCGTTCTCGCGTTTTCCGCTGCCCGACGCTCCAAGTCGTCCCGAGAGGCCCAAAAGAACGCCCCACGACGGATCAAAGTCCTCCAAGAGGTTCCCAACATGGCCCAAAAGGGCCCCAAGACGGCCCAAAACGCCTCCAAGACAGGCCGAGAGGCACCCAAGACGGCCCCAAGAGGGTGTCCAGACGGGAGACCCGAACGGACATCTCGAGCACTCGCCCCCGAGAAGCTCTTAGGAGGCCCCGACAGACAGTTGCGAAAGTTTCCGTAAATTGGGCACGCGCTATTTTTCAGCGAGCCGCATCGCTTGGCGAGGCGGTCTCCCTGGCGGCGGTCCAGGTCCTTCACCCTGGACGGCAGCTCGCGGCACAGGCCGTCGACGTCGCAGGCGCTGTTTATCTGCGCCGCGCAGGCCTTCAGCCGGGCGCGGTGCGCCTCCAGGGTCTCCTCCCAGCGCCGCTTCAGGAGCGTCTTCGCGAGCCTGCCCCGCATCCACGACGCCGCGGTCTCGCGGGGCATGACCTCCTGGAGCTGGCCAGGCTGCGCAGAAGCGTCCGCGGGGAAAATTGCCCTCAGGTTGTGGCGCCTCAACGCCCCGCGGTACTCCTCGGCGATTGCCCCTGAGCCGGCGTTGTAGAAGCCGCCCCCGCGGTCCGCGAAGAGCACGCGAGGCTGCCGGCCGCCCCCGGGAAAACGCACATTCAGAGCAGATCGCACCTTCGCCACCATGATCTCGGCCCCCAGCGGGGCCCCCCCAGGGAAATCGCCAGGCAGCGGCTCGATGTGGAGCAGCCCGCGCGCGAGGACCGGGGCCCACCACACCCGCACCGCGTCAGAGCTATTCAACTTGAGGTGGCGTTCGGGGCCGCGGAGGTTCTGCGATTGCGCCTGAGAGCCTTTGCTCATCCATCCTTTCTCCCCCTTTCGCGCAAGCGCCATGTCTTGCGCCTTCTTCTGAGTCCGAGGGGGGGCAGAGTTGCAGAGGTCGCACCACGCGAGATTGTCGTAGTACCACTGCGGCCTGTGCGACAGAGATATCACGTGCTTCGCGAAATCCCACCGCCTCCGCTTGGACACGTCGCCCAGCGCGTTCCGCGACAGGCGCGGCCTGTTATCCCATGGATCGTCTGCTGCTTCATCAAAGCAAGCCTCCCGGAATACAGTGTAGACTGCCTTCTTGTCCACGGGCTGCTCCGCGTCGGGGTTCAGGACAGCCGTCGGGCACGCGGCCGCGATAGCGGCGTACGTGGGCCTCGCCTTGCTTCTTCAGACGCTTCGCCGCCGCCACAATGGCGGTCTGCTTTGGGCCCCGCAAGACGCGCTTCCGGCCGCGGAGCCCCCCTCTGCTAATTTCCCGGGGTGCCACTCGGGGTCGGCATCCACGCGCTCGAAGAACTCCTTGATGGACTGCGATGTAGGATGGTCGCCGGAGGGCTTCCCGGCCTTCGTCTTCCTCGCGCGGCTGGCCACGAAGGACATCGCGCCGTAGTCGCTCTTCCCCTCCTCGCGCCACACCTCGCGGAGCGCCCGCGCCCGCGCTTGCTCGCGGCCGCAGAGGCCACCCTCCTTGCCCGCGAACCACGCCCTGCTCAGCGCCGCCTGCTCCGACATGTCGCGAGGCAAGGGGGCGCCCGGCGCCGCGCGCGAGAGGCCAGGGCCAAGGCGGCCACGGACAGCGAGGAGGAAGAGAGGAGGGGTGCCAGGGCGCCAGGGGGGGCGAGGAGAAAGAGAGGAGGGGTGCCAGGAGGAAGAGAGCAGGGGTGCCACGGGTGCTACGGTTCGCCGCCCCTACTCCTACTATAACACTAATTAAAGGTGGTGCACGGCGCATCTGCGCCCCTGCGCCCTGGAGCACAGGGGTACCATGACAATTGATATTAATCAATCGTTCCTAGATCCACTCGCGCCCAGACCCGTTCCTGCTCGGCCGCTGACGGATAGACCCACTCGTAACCATACTTGCTCACACCCACGCACCTTCCTCACGTTGAGACCACGCTAATGCGCAGACGCACTCATGCTCATATGCACCCGTGATCAGACGCACGCTCATTCACATGCACTCCCCCCGGGTTCACTCACGCACAGACCTACGCAGACCCGGGCCCACTCATATCCAGACTCGTTCGCGTTCAAACCCAGCCCACTCGCCCCGCGCTGGGGCTCGCTCGCACTGAGTCACATGGACCCCCCCGGGGTGACACCAGCCGAGGGCGCGCGTCGGCCGCCCCCCAAGTACCTTCAACTACTCGGGAGGCAGCGGCCTCCACTGGGATCCCGACCGCCTGTCCTTGCCGCCGAGGCCGCGGCGTCGGCGATCCCGAGTCGCTGAAGGCCCCAGGAGAGGTCCTCACGTGCCCTCGGCAGATGTCTACTGGAAAAAAATCACGCGACATTAAACATTCTAACAGGTGCGACAGCGCGCGAGCGCGCTTTCTTTGGGAACGCAGGAACCCTCTGGATTCACAAAGTTCCGTCACACTTGCAACGTCGGAACCATCGTGGAACCAGCGTGGAACCAGGCAGGCGCCCTGTGAGTTCATCAGGTTTCGTCACACTGGCGGCGTCGGAACCATCGTGGAACCAGCATGGAACCAAGCAAGAACCTTGTGAAATCATATGGTTTCGTCACACTTGCGACGTCGGAACCGTCGTGGAACCGTCGTGGAACCGTTGTGGAACCCTGTGAATTCATTGAGTTTCGTCACACTTGCGACGTCGGAACCGTCGTGGAACCGTCGTGGAACACTGTGAATTCATACGGTGTCGTCACACTTGCGACGTCGGAACCGTCGTGGAACCGTCGTGGGACCGTCATGGAACCGTTGTGGAACCTGGTGAAGTCACATGGTTTCGTTGCACTTGCGACGTCGGAACCGTCGTGGAACCGTCGTGAAACTATGTGAATTCATAAGGTTTCGTGACATGTCAACCTCTCGGAACAGTCGTGGAACCGCCGTGGAACCGCTGCGGTTGGGCGCCGGACCCTAGAAAACGACGCAGATCGGCGATCGCGGGCTCGCCGCCCCCACTCCTAGTATAATGCAAATTAAAAGTGGCGCACGGCGAATCTGCGCCCCTGCGCCCTTGAGAAGAGGGGGGGTTCCTCTAATTAGTATTATAAGACGGCCGCTGGGCCCCAAGTCCCCCCCCCCGGCCCCCGCCCGAGCGCGGTGGAATCGCGCGGCAGCGCCACTGGATACGACTGCCGCTGGGCCGCGAGCCCCCCCCCCCCGGCCCGCGCCTGGACCCCCGTCTCTTTTTTCCTAGCCGGGAGTCTCCCGGCCCCGCTTCTGCTCCGGGCTCGCGCCCGCGGGGGCCTCTCGGCGCCGCGTGGCCCACCTCCTGCGAGACGCGCCAGAGCTGACAGAGGGCGCGGGAGATGACCGCGGGGGCGTCGCTGGAGCCGGGGCCGCCACCCTCGCCTCCCACACGGGCTCTCCGACGAACACCTCCACTGCGTTCGTCTGGATCCAGTTCTCGTCAGCGACAAAGTAATCATCGTACGTCCAGTTGTTGGTCGTCAGCGTGAGTGGTGTCCGCCAGAGCAATATCTCGTATGAGAACTTCTGCGTCGGGCTCTGGCCGAGGATGGCCCCGTCCACGTGCGATTGCAACAACTTCTTATTATCGACGACAAACTCCGGGGATTGCACTTCGTCGACGAGGATCGCCTTGTGGGTCTTTCGTTGAAAGCAACGCAAATCTGGGCGCTCTGCGTGCTGCACATCTACTACGAGCGTCCGCGCGTCCCCGAACAGGCTCCGTGCCAGCCGAGACTTGCCACTGCAAGAGGGGCCACAGAGAACCAGAAACTTGCACCGTTCCTCCTCTTCCTCGAACTGCAACCTCCATCGCTGGATCTGATCAGGCAGGGGCTTAAAGGGCAGCGCCTTCCTTGCGATTCGCGCCCGCGCCCCCTCTTTCTCGCGCGAGCACTCCTGCACGCGCTCGTCCGCATCTATGGCTGCCACTAAGGCCTGGGCCCTATCGTGCCCGTCCCGGAGCTTCATCGACAGACCCATAAACTGCGCGCGGTCCAGCTTGGGCTGCCTGTACAAAACCATGACCCAGGCGCGCCCCGGAGACCATCCCGTCTCCCAGGGAGGATACTTTGATGCGCCCTCCAAAGTTCCCTGCTTCTTTACCCATGCGTAGAAATGTCCGCGCTGTTGCTTCCACCCAGTACCACGGGCCTCGCCCCTCGGTATTCTTGTCCACGCGCGGCTTCACGCCCCTGAAGACCCAGGAGTCCAGAGTCCTGTGGTCCACGCCCTTGCCCCCCCCGCCGTGCCAGGAAAACTAACAGTGCAAGTGCACGCGGCCAGTATCAGTAGAATGCAGGGACTCCTCCATGGTTGCGCTGCAGCACGTGATGCCGAACTCCTTCTTCCGATCCTCTACCAACGACTGGTACGCCTGCCGCAACTCCGGGGACGCGACGAAGGCCAAGCAGTTGAAGGTGAGCACAAAGGCTCTGCATTTTAGCCGAAGCGCTTTGCCCGCCTGCGCCCGGCACTCTGCGTATCCAGGGACCCGCTCGCGCCCGTCGGGGCCGTCGTCGGCGTCCTCGTCCGCTCCAGGATCTGGTAGCTCGGGAAAGGAACCGCCGCCGCCACTCTCGATCCACAGGTCCCTTGCCGCGCAGAGCTCCGGCGCCCGCTCGGCAGGCACGACGTCGCACAATGCCGAGAAGAGGTCAACCACTTCCTGGGCCCGTGGACGGTGAGACAACGTGTCCAGCTCGAACTCCTCAGCCACGGAGTTCAGCGCCTTCGTGGCCTCGCTTCGCCGCCCTCGCCGCGCAGTCTTGTTATCGGCCATGACTGCCTTGGCCGGCGGCTCGGGGACACTCCGGCCTGGGCCAAAACAGCTACAGCGCGATCGGGTAGTCAGGGTGCGCGGTAAGGATGCAAGGCCCTTGGCCGTCCAAGGAGAAGCCCATGGAGGGGGACATATGCCCAGATGGACCGCGCGTGGCATCGGTGCAGGGGTGCCCTTCGAAAGCTACTCATCCCTATGATACGGTTTCACTGCACGGCTTGGTGCCGCCCGCAAGGCCGGATGCCCCCCCCCGCGCCAACTTCCGCGCTCGAGATCGGACGCGCTTCACCTCCGCCTGCTTCCACGGCTCCCCCCCGCCGGATTCCACCGACGAGGATGCAGGACCGCAGCCTGACCTCGGCGGCGATCTCCATCGCCGTTTCTTTACCTCCGCCAGCAGCCGCGGCCCCGCGCCGTCTTCCGCCGCCGCGCGTCTTCCCTGGAGGCGAGGCCCTCTCCTGCTCTCCAGGCGGCTCCTTCGGACAGCCATCGCGCCATCGATCTCACATGCATCATCGATTTACCTCCGCCTGCTTCCGGCGCCCGCCAGCCGCCTTCCGCCGCGAGGTTGGCTGCGATTCCCACTCAAGTCCAAGCGCGGTCCTTCCAACCAAACGGCGCCGATGCAACCAATCCCTGGACCGCTGTCAGGCGGCTCCCTCCGACAGCCCTCTCGCACGAATCGCGTTCGATGTACCTCCGCCTGCCTCAAGCGCCCGCCCGCCGCCTTCCGCCGCGAGGTTGGGCGCCTCACCCCTCGAGCCATCGCGTAGCTCTTCAGGCCAAGCAGCACCGACGCAGCCAGTCCCTGGACCGCTCCTGGAGCGCGCTCTGCCCAGAATTCCGACACGAATCCAGCTGCAGCGACGAGGGCCCCCCAGGGCGAGCGGCGGAAAAGCCTCGTGACGTCGCATCGTGGCCTGAGCTGCCCGCGAGCCCGGCGACTCCGCGTCTCCTACCCTTCCCCCCAGCCCTCGCCTCCTCTCCCCTCCGTGCCCGCCCCTCCCCAGAAATCAAATTTAAGGAAACAATTCGCACCTGTCTGAAGGGGCCGCCAACACACTCACAAGAACCCCCCAGGCCCCTGGGGGTCCCAAGAAGCTCCCAAGAGACCCCCCTAAGGGTCTCCCGAAACGCCCCAAACTGCCCACCAAAGACCACGAACGCGCTCCGAAGAGACCCCGGCAAGCAACCCCTCCTCCCCCTGCTCCATCCCTTTTCCTTATACATAATTTCTCCCTGTCGCACCCCAAGGCCAGTTTTTAGGACAGCCCGGGCGTTTCGCCTGAGAGTTCCTCACCACTTATGACTCTGACGCTTGAAGGTCTGCAACAGCTTCACAGATGGAGGCGGGTGGTCTTCAGAATGTGGCTCTCGCCTTAGCGCGGCGCACATTCTTTTTAAACATGTGCATGATCTTCACGGATTGAGGGCAGGTGGTTTTCAACATGTGGCCCTCGCCTTAGCTCGGCGCATATCCGTTCTAAAAACATGCAAGAATTGCATGAAGTGAGGGCGGCTCGTTCTCAAAATGTGGCTCTCGCCTTAGCGCGGCGCACATTCGCTTGAAATATTTGCAAAACCTTCACGGATCGAGGGCGGGTCGTTTTCAAAATGTGGCTCTCGCCTCAGCGAGGCGCACTTTTGGTTTCTTGCTTGTTCTTACGACTATTCTTACAAAATGCAAGAGCTTCACGGATTGAGGGCGGCTGCATTTTAAGACGTGGCTCTCGCCTTAGCGCGGCGCACATTCGATTAAACATTCACAAGAGTTTCACGGATTCCCATCATCAACGTGCCAGAAATGATGTTTTGGAAGGGGTCAAGACTACGCGGGTGCAACACATACGTTGGTTCTCTGTGTTGAAATCCTAGGAATGGCGTTCTGAACGATTCAGGATCGTCCAGACGCAACAGTGAGGTTGATCCGTTCCATTGGAATCTCGAGAACAATGGTGTGGCATGCTTCAGGGTCTTCAAACGGGTGTCTTCCAACGAGGCAGTTCCATCGATGGGAATGAACCGTTGTAGGGGCCTATGAAGAGGGAGCTTAGAGGGAGGGTTTACTCCAGCATCGTTGATGACTCTTGGGTTTACACTGGTCACCCGCCTCCTCCTCCTTCTCCTCCTGTTCCTCCACCTCGTCTTTATCGTCCTCAGCCTGCTCATTGCCCTCCTCGACCTCCTCCTGCCCCAACTCCCCCCCTCCTCATCCATGAGCTGCCTCCTCCATCACCTCCTTCTCCACCGCGCCCGCCTCCTCCCTCTCCTGCTCCTTTTGCTCTTCCTCCTCCCCCGCCTCATCCTTACCCTTCTCCTCCTCCTCATCCCCCTTTCGTCGCATCATCCTCCTCATCTTCATATTCATCCTCCTAACCACCCTTATCATCCTTCCAATGCCCGCATGCTCCTCCCCTGGCGCTCCGAAATCTGACCTCGACCTCTTCCTCCCAATCCTCCTCCTCCTCCTCCTCCTGCCCCTCCTCCTCCTCCTCCTCCTCCTGCTCCTCCTCCTCCTCCTCCTCTTCTCCTCCTCTCCTCCTCTCCTCCTCCTCCTCCTCCTCCTCCTCCTCCTCCTCCTCCTCTCCCTACTGCTGATCCACCGCGTCCTTCGCGTCCTCCTTCTTCTCCTGCTCCTCCGACTCCACCTCGTCCTACTGCTGCTCATTCTCCCCCCGTCCTCCCCTGCCCCTGCTCCCCCTCCTCCTCCTGCGCCTCCTCCTCCCCCTCCTCATACTGCTCCTTCTACTGCTGATCCACCGCGTCCTTCGCGTCCTCCTCCTGTGGTGGTTTTCCCCCAACTATCCTGTGGTGTTGGGGCCTCGTTTTGAAGAGACAGCGCCCCGCGTCCCTCCCGACTCCTCCTCCTCCTCCTCCTCCTCTTCCTCCTCCTCCTCCTCCTCCTCTTCCTCCTCCTCCCCGTCCTCCTTCCTCCCTGTGTTCCGCCCACCCAGTACAACGTTTCGTGGCCCCATAGGGAGCTCCGCCGAAGGCCCCAGTGGCAGGGTTCGCATGGCGGCCCCGCCTCATGGTGGCGCACCCCTCACACGGTCCGTGGCCCCACAGGGAGCCCAACCGAAAGCCCCAGTGGCAGGGTTCGCATGGCGGGCTCGCCCCATTTTGGCGCACCCCTCACACGATTCGCGGCCCCTAGGGAGCTAAACCGAAAGCCCCGGGGTTCGCATGGCGGCCCCGCCCCATTTTGGCGCACTCCTCACACGGTTCGTGGTCCCATAGGGAGCTCCACCGACGGCACCAGTGGCAGGGTTCGCATGGCGACCCCGCCCCATGTTGGCTCACCCCTCACACGATTCGCGGCCCCTAGGGAGCTAAACCGAAAGCCCCAGGGTTTGCATGGCGGCCCCGCCCCATTTTGGCGCACTCCTCACACGGTTCGTGGCCCCCTAGGGAACTCCACCGAAGGCCCCAGTGGCAGGGTTCGCATGGCGGGCTCGCCCCATTTTGGCGCACCCCTCACACGGTTCGTGGCCCCATGGGGAGTCCCACCGAAAGCCCCAATGGCAAGGTTCGCATGGCGACCCCGCCCCATTTTGGCGCACCCCTCACACGGTTCGCGGCCCACTGGGAGGTCACCGAAGGCCCCAGTGGCAGGGTTCGCATGGCGGGCTCGCCCCATTTTGGCGCACCCCTCACACGGTTCGTGGCCCCAGAGGGAGCTACACCGAAGGCCCCAGCGGCAAGGTTCGCATGGCGCCCCCCCCATTTCGGCGCACCCCTCACACGGTCCGTGGCCCCACAGGGAACTCCACCGAAGGCACCAGTGGCAAGGTTCGCATGGCGGCCCAGCCGCATCCTTCACACGTTTCGTGGTCCCATAGGGAATCCCACTGAAGGCCCCAGTGGCAAGGTTCGCATGGCGGCCCCGCCCCATTTTGGCGCACCCCGCACACGGTTCGAGGCCCCATAAGGGGGCTCAACCGAAGGCCCCAGTGGCAAGGTTCGCATGGCGGCCCCGCCTCATTTTGTCGCAGCCCTCACACGGTCCGTGGCCCCATAGGGAGCTCCACTGAAGGCCCCAGTGGCAGGGCTTGAACGGCGGCCCCGCCCTTTGTTAGCGCACCCCTGCGGTTTTCACACTTGCATGTGGTTGGGTCTTTCGCCTGGATGATGTTTCGTGCGGCAAGTCTGGCCAAGACGCCTGCCGAACTACGAAGTACGGCATTCGAAATTCATTTACAGAAAACTATGCGACTGCCCCCCGGCAAACTTTAAGCATGCTTATGGTTTTCACAGCCATCCTGTGGTGTTGGGCCCTCGTGTTCAAGAGACGGTGCCCCGCGTTCTCCTCCGCCTCCTCTCCTCCTCCGCTCCTCCTCCTCCCTCCTCTCATCACAATCATCACCATCAAAACCATCATCACCACCACCAGCATCATCATCGGCATCATCGACGTCATCATCTCAACCACCATCATCATCAGCATCAGCATCATCGTCTTCATCATCCCCCATGTCGGCACAACTCTCACACGCGTCGTGGCCCCATAGGGAGCTCCACCAAAGGCCCCAGTGGCAGGGTTCGCATGGCGGCCCCGCCCCATTTTGGCGCACCCCTCACGAAGATCGTTGCCCCTTATGGAGCTCCACCGAAGGCACCAGTGGCAGGGTTCGCATGGCGACCCCGCGCCAGTTTGGCGCACCCCTCACGAGGATCGTTGCCCCATAGGGAGCTCCACCGAAGGCCCCAGTGGCAGGGTTCGCATGGCGGCCCCGCGCCATATTGGCGCACCGTTCACACAGTTCGTGGCCCACTGGGAAGCTCCACCGAAGGCCCCAGTGGCAGGGTTCGGATGGCGACCCCGCCCCATTGTGGCGCACCCCTCACACGGTCCGTGGCCCCACAGGGAACTCCACCGACGGCCCCAGTGGCAGGGTTCGCATGGCGGCCCCGCCCCATTTTGGCGCACCCCTCACTCACACGGTTCGTGGCCCCAGAGGGGGCTCCACCGAAGGCCCCAGTGGCAGGGTTCGCATGGCGACCCCGCCCATTTTGGCGCCGTGGCCCCTTGGGGAGCTCCACCGAAGGCTTCAATGGCAACGTTCGCATGGCGGCCCCGCCCCATTTTGGCGCACCCCTCACACGGTTCGTGGCCCCACAGGGAGTTCCACCGAACAACTAAG